CCCAAGTAGCTGGGATTACAGGTGTGCACCACCACACCCAGCTAATTTTGTTTTGTTTTGTTTTGTATTTTTAGTAGAGACAGGGTTTCACCATGTTGGACAGGCTGGTCTCGAGCTCCCAACCTCAGATGATCCGCCTGCCTTGGCTTCCCAAAGTGCTGGGATTACAGGCGTGAGCCACTGCACCTAGCCCAATTAGTAATTCTTTAGTATTTCTTAGGGACAAATTTCTTTATAATAATAGTCGTAATTTCAACCCTGAATCTGTAAGCAGGTAAATATTACCCCTAAAGTACAACATAGATGGCTTCCAACATTCCGTGAAATATTAAGTCCAGTGCTACAGACCAGGGAAACAGGAAATCCAGATTCTCCAACCTAAATAGAATGACCTCACTGCAACCTCTGCCTTCCGAACTTGCAGCCTCCAAGTTTCTATCTGCTTTCCCTAAGGTCGATTTTTTTAAAGTTCCCATTCATTCAATACGGATTATTGGTATGCCTGTTACATTCCGGGTACTGTGGTAGGAACTAGAACTCTTCTTGGTGCCGGTAGTGTCATGCTAATCCCAAGGCAGAGTGGTCTAATGACAATGAGGAACTCCTTATAGGGATCTCCAAGAAAAGCTTTTCCATAGTCTACATATACTACCTTTTGCAATCCCAGAGCAAGAGGGTTCCATCTGCTCTTTTGAATTTCACCACTTTTCTTCCCTCTACACTGCCCCCCCAAACCCCCAATACTCAATTGCATTTGTGATGGCTTCTTTAAGAAGCTGCACTAGGGAATAAAGAGGAGAGAAATACTATCTTCAGTCATCAGAAACAAATTTGGGAGAGGACAGGATTTAGCTAAAGCCATGTAGTAAGGCAGAGAAGGAAAAAGAAAAAAGGGGGAGAAAAATAAAAGGAAAAGGAAGAAGGAAAAGAACAATCTATTCATAAGCATTTAGGAGAGTTGCATTCATTCCAAGCCCTAAAGCCATACCTTGAATACAACTGACTGGGATAACCACTTTCGTAATAGTCAATTCTAGACAGAGGCTGATGCCAGTCCCCAGGCCTGGAGGCATAATGGGACTGTTGATGGTCTGTCCTGGGCTCCTGCTGTGGCTGGGGGCTCCCACGGTTGTCTTGCCATTGGTGAAACCTCTCTCCATTGTGCCGAGAGTGAGGGACAGGCCGATGATGTCCATCTCTCCGAAACCCTCGGTCTGGATCCTTTGAGGGTGCTGTGACCGTCCCTCGTGTCTGGGGCAGCCTCTGGGGAGCCCAAAGTTCCATCACTGACTCTCTGAATTTGTCTTGGGTTTTGAGTAAGTTGTGTAGTTATTTTATCTTCCTGCAGACAAAAGAAAAAGGAAAAAAATCATCATTTGAAACCTATATCCAAACGTAGTGGTTGATTAGGTTTTGTGAAAAGAGCAGCTATGGTCCTCAAAATCTGTCTAAAACAAACCATATGGTCACGGATACAGAAAAATCTGAAAAAAAAAAAATCTCAGATACATGAAGCAAATAACAGACTAGACAATTATATTGATATTGCTTAAAAAATTAAAAAGTACATTTGGAACGACGACAGATGGGGGAGGCATGGGAGACAGATAACAGTAATAGGTACAGCTAAAAATGCTATCAAGGGATCCCAGTTGATGTTTCTTCACATATTCCCCCAGCAAGTGTTTATTTAACACTTACAGTGGAGGCCCTGTGGTATCATAAATAGAGTGGGTCTTGCAGAGAGCTAGATCAGAGTTCAAATCCTAACTCTGCCACTTAACTAGCTAGTTCATTTTTTCAAGCCTCAATTTCCTTACCCATGAAATAGAGACTGTAATGACTACCTCGCAAGGTTATTGACAGAGTTAAAGATAACCTCTGCAAAGTGCCTGACATGTTACCCAACATGTTAAAGTGCTCAATAAATAGTAGTGTTATCAAGGATAAAGATGAGGGTAGTATGAGTGGCTGA